GCCCACAGGTGATGGTGCGGCCGGCGGGGTGGCGGTGGCAGGGGACGGGCACCCACAGCACCCACCGGAAGGAGGAGGGGGTGGCGGTGGCGCAGGCGGTGTGTGCCCGGCTGCGGGGGCTGACGGAGGAGGACAGCGTCCTGTTGGAGGCCATGGTGCCCACCGCCCGCCTGCCCCTGCCCCCCCCACGTAAGGCCCCCGCCCTTGGGCGCCCACCACCCCGGGGGAGGGGGGGAAGGGTCCCCCCAGGTCCCCCTGGCTGTGCCAGCCATGTGTCTGCCCCCTGGGGTGGGTGGGCGTGTGGGGGGTGGATGGAGGGTCATCGGGATGCCCAAACTCCAGGCATCCTGGGGGTGGGCATGAGGGTGGTCGCCCTGGACCCCCATGGTCCCTGGTTGGGGGGGGAAGTCACCCTGGACCCCCACGGTCACCTGGGGTGAGAGGGAAGGGCACCCTGGACTCCCACGGTCTCCTGGGGTGGGAGGGAAGGTGACCCCCCTTGCCTCCTGACAGTCCCCTGGGGCTGGGGGTGACAATGACCGTGCTGTACCCCCCACTCCCCTGGGGCTGGGGTTGGCCAGGGCCACCGTGGTGCCACGGGGGGGTGCCCAAAGCCCCCGGAGGAGGGGGGGGTTGGGCAGGGACAGTGCCTGCCCTGTCGCTCGCCCCCCAGGCAGCCCAGCCCCGCGGCTGCCCGTGGCCCTGCGCATCTGCACCCTGCTCTGCAGGTCCTGGGGGGACCGGCCCCAGCTCTGCCAGGTACGGTGGGTCCCCAACCCCTGGTGGCCCCGCACGTCCCCAAGCTATCCATGTCCCCAAGCCATGGTGGCCATGTGTGTCTCCACACCCTGGTGGCAGCCCATGTTCCCCAGGCTATGGCACAGTAGCCCAGGTCCCCATGCCCTTGTGGCCCTGTGTGTTCCCAGGCTGTGGTGGCCACCCGTGTCCTGGTGGCCCCACACGTCCCCAAGCCATGGTGGCACCCGGTGCTCCCAAGCTACTAACATGACAGCCCACATCCCCATGTCCCCTGGCTACAGTGTCCATCCATATCCCAGTCCTTGGGTCAATGTGGCACCCCACGTCCCCCTTCCCTGGTGGCAGCTGGGTCCCCAGGCTCTGAGGTGGCAGCCAACACCCCCATACCTGGTGGCAAGGTAGTCACCCTACCTTGTGTGGCCGTCCGTGTCCCCGCGCCGCTGCGGCAGCCCACGTCCCCGGGCGATGGGGTGGCAGCCGGTGTCCCCACGGCCGCGCCGGTGTCCCCGCAGGTGGCCTGCGCCGTGGGACGCGCGGAGAGCCCGGTGCGTCACGGGGCGGCGCTGCCCCAGGGCCTGGACTCCAGCCTGCAGCAGTGGGGGGTGGTGGCCCCCAGCCAGCGCCAGGCGCTGGCCACGCGGCTCCGGGGGACCGCCGAGGCCGCCATGGCCGCCCTCCTGGCCGCCGAGGCCGAGCTGAGCCCGCAGCAGCGCGGCGGCACCCGCGCCCGCACCGACATCCTGGGTGAGCGCGGCGAGGGGCGGCGCCGGTCCCCGGTGTCACCCCACGGCGCCGAGCGCGGCGTCACCGTCACTGTCACCGTCCCCAGGTGTGGACTTCTTGCTGGCGTGCGTGGATGACGCCCTGGAGCTGGTGGCCCTGGCCACCAACAGCCAGCGGTGCCTGGAGACCTGCGTGCTGGCCGAGGCCATGGGGCGCGCCGTGGGGGAGCCCGCCGGGGACCTGCCCCGGCTGCTGGCCGAGGCCATGCTGCACCGGGCGCAGTGTCACCTGGTGGAGGGCAAGGACATCCTGCTCATCGGGGCCGGCGGCGTCAGCAAGAGCTTCGTCTGGGAGGCGGCTCGAGAGTACGGGCTGAAGGTGAGGAGGGTTTGGGGCGCTGCCCTCCGGAGGTCTCGGAGCGCACGCCGGGTGCCGCGTCCCGGCCGGTGGCGGTGGGTGTCACGGCGACACCTCTTCTGACGACGCAGATCCACCTGGTGGAGTCGGACCCGGAGCACTTCGCGGCGGGGCTGGTCCAGACCTTCCTGCCCTACGACAGCCGGGAGCACCGGCGGGACGAGGAGCACGCGGAGCGGGTGCTGGAGCTGGTGCGCTCCCGGGGGCTGCGGCCCCACGCCTGCCTCTCCTACTGGGACGACTGCGTGGTGCTGGCGGCGCTGGTGTGCCAGGGCCTGGGGCTGCGCGGCTGCTCGCCCGCCGCCGTCCGCGTGGCCAAGCAGAAGAGCCGGACCCACCAGCACCTGCAGCGCTGCCGCCGCGGCCGCCCGCCGCCCGCCGCCTTCGCCGTGCCCTGCCGCCGGCTGCAGAGCCACGGAGACGTGGAGCGGGCGGCGGGCGCCGTGCCCTTCCCGGCCGTGGCCAAGCTGGAGTTCGGGGCCGGAGGCGTCGGGGTGCGGCTGGTGGAGGACGCCGGGCAGTGCCACGCGCACGCGGCGAGGCTGTGGCGGGACCTGCGGGACGACGCCGACCACCCGGGCATCGGGCTGGGCTGGGGCAACGCCATGCTGCTCATGGAGTACGTGCCGGGCACCGAGCACGACGTGGACCTGGTGGTCTTCGACGGGCGGCTCGTGGGCGCCTGGGTGTCGGACAACGGCCCCACGCGCGTCCCCGCCTTCCTGGAGACGGCGGCCTGCCTGCCCTCCTGCCTGCCCGCCGACCGGCAGGCGCAGCTGGTGCGGGCGGCCCTGCAGTGCTGCCGGGCGTGCGGGCTGCGCGACGGCGTCTTCAACGTGGAGCTCAAGCTGGGGCCGGGGGGCCCGCGGCTGCTCGAGATCAACCCCCGCATGGGGGGCTTCTACCTGCGCGACTGGATCCGGGAGGTCTACGGCCCCGACCTGCTGCTGGCGGCGGTGCTGGTGGCGCTGGGGGTGCCGCCGGTGCTGCCCGCCCGCCCCGCGCCCCGCGCCCACCTGGCCGGGGTGATGTGCCTGGGCTCGGAGCACGGCGCGGCGCTGGCGGGCGGCGGCGGGATGGAGGCGCTGCGGGAGCTGCAGGGCCGGGGGCTCGTCCGCCTCAACCGGCTCTTCGAGGAGGTGGCGGGGGACGGCGAGTACGAGGAGCCGCTGCTGAGCGTGGCGTGCGACGGGGCGACGCGGGCGGAGGCTTGCGTGCGCCTGCTGGGGCTGTGCCAGGCGCTGGGCATCGACTCCCCGAGATACCCCGTGGAGCATTTCTTGTCCCACTTCAAATAGCGCCGGGCAGGCAGCGGGGACGGCGGGGGAAAGCGGGGCGAGGGCGTGGGGAAAGCCCACCCGCCGCCCCGGTACCCCCTCCCGCCGCCCCGCTCCCCGGCATCCCCCCCGCAGCCCAGCCCGCCCCGCGGCCCCGCTCCCCGGCAGCCCCCCGGCACTCCGCCCCACCGGCCCGCCATCCCGTGGCCTGGCACACCGCCCCCTGGCACCCCCCCGCTGCCCTGGATCCCCATCACCTGCCCTGCTATCCCACGCCCTGGCATCCACCCACTTCCCTGGCGGCCCATCCCCTGGCATCCTGACACCCCACCCACCGGGATCCCCCCATTAACCTGGCACCCCAAGCCCTGGCACCCCTCTTCTGCCCTGGATCCCAATCACCTGCCCGGGTACCCCGTTCCCTGACACCCACCCACTCCCCTGGCAACCCGTTTCCTGCCATCCCCCCGTTACTCTGTTATCCCATCCCCTGCCATCCCCCGTGTCCTGGCACCACATTCCTTGGCACCCCCCCAATACTGTGACACCCCCTTCCCTGTTATCCCTGCACTACACCACTACCCCTTCCCCTAAAGCCCCCCTCTCCCAGTCCATGCACCCCATGTCCTGTTCCCACCCCATGTCCTGTTCCACCATTCCCTGACATCCCCGCCATGTCCTGGCATCCCATGCCCTGGCATTCCCCCACTCCCCTGATGCCCCATCCCCCTGCCCTGGCACCCCCATCCCCTGCTCCCCAACATCCCCCTTCCTTCCCTGTCCCCCCCGTCCTCGCAGCTGGGGGTCCCGTGCCCCTCCCATGCCAGGGACGCTCAGGGGGACACCGAGTGGCCCTGTGCCATCCTGTGGTGGGGGGCAGCCAAGGGACGCCCAGAGGCCCCTGAGCCACCCCACCTGAGCAGCAGGGGCAGCCTGAGGTGCATTGGCACCTGCTGGCATGGGGAGACCCTACAATAACATACCAGCGTGGGGAGACCCCACAGCAACAAACCAGTGTGGGGAGACTCTGCAATAACAGACTGAGGTAAGGAGACCCCACAACAACACACCCGGAAGGGGAGACCCCACAATAACACACCCGGAAGGGGAGACCCCCTAATTACAAACCGTCATGGGGAGACCCCATAATAATAAAGCAGAATGGGGAGACCCTACAATAACAGACCAGTGAGGGGAGGCCCCACAGTAACAGACTGAGGTGGGGAGACCCCACAATAACACCCTGGAAGGGGAGACCCTACAATAACAAACCAGCATGCAACAAAACCACAATAACAGACCAGTGTGGGGAGACCCTACAGTAACAAAGGGGCACCCACGGATTCCCTGGAGCAGCTGAGAAGGTCCTCTGGGGAGAGACTTGTGTGGGGAGCCCCTGTGATATATAGGGCTGTCACTGGGGAGACCCTACAATAACACCAGCGACCACACAATAACACCAACATAGCCCCTGTAGTGCCTGAGACCCTAGAATAACACTAATGACCCTACAATAACACCCACCTCCTGTAGCAACCCTGACCCTACAATAACACCAGAGACCCTGCAGTAATGCCAAAACCCACAATCCCCATGACCCTACAATAACACCAGAGACCTTACAATAACACCCAGCCCCTCTAGTGCCCCAACCCTACAAAAACACCACTGCCCCACAACCCTATAATAACACCCTACAAATAACACCAGACCCTACAATAACCCCAGAAACCCTACAATAACACCCATCCCCACAACCCTACGAAAACACCACTGACCCTACAGCAACACACATCCCTACAGTAACACCAACCCCTACAACCCTACAATAACACCAGAGACCTTACAATAATACCCAGCCCCTGTAGTGCTTGAGACCCTGCAATAACTCGAGAGACCCTAAAATAACACTCAGCACCCAAGGCCCTCCCAACCCTACAATAACACCAGAGACCCTACAATAACACACAGCCCCTGTAGTGCTTGAGACCCTGCAGTAACTCGAGAGACCCTACAATAACACCAGAGACCCTACAATAACACCCAGCCCTCACAGCCCCCACGACCCTACGACACCACCAGTGCCCCCCAGGCCCACTCGTGGCGGAGAGAGGGGGGGGGGCCGGGAGGGGCTCCCCCCTCCCTTCCTAACCCCCTCCTCTGACGTCACGGCGGCCCCGCTGACGTCACGGCGGCGCAGCGCGGGCGGGGCCGGGCCGGGGCGACCCCCAGTAAAGGCTGTGAGCGGCTCTGTCCTTGTCCTTGTCCCTGCGCCACCCCGGGGGGACCCGTGTCCCCCCTTACCGGGGACACCGGGGCACGCCCCGGTGACGCGGCGGGGCGTGTCCGTGGGGGCGGGTCCGTGGGGGCGTGTCCGTGGGGGGCGGGTCCGCGGGGCGGGTCCCCGGGGGTCCCCGCGCGGCGCCGTCATGGCGGGGGTGTTCGACATCGACCTGGAGACCGAGGAGGGCAGCGACGGGGACGAGCCCGAGCTGGGCGCCGTGAGCCCACCCCGGGGCGCGGGCGGGGGGGGACGCGGGGGGGACACCCCGGGATCGGGACCCCCCCAGCGCCGGTGGGGTCGGGGGGCGGCGCGGCGGGGACGCGGGGCACCGGGATCGGGACGGGGCGCGGAGCGGGGACGCGGCGGGGACAGCGGGAGCGCGGGGCACCGGGATCGGGACGGGGCGCGGAGCGGGGACGCGGCGGGGACAGC